TTGTTTGGGTTCTAATTTTTAAAATAATTTTATTTTAATTCATTTAATTTGGGACATGAAAACATTGATAGTGATCGTGGTCGGCATATAGGTTGGAGGCCATTCATGACTTGTTAAATGGAGTTGACCAAAACAAAATATCAAAATTACCCTACCACTTACATGCTCACTGTTCAAATTTGATAGGGGACTCGAGCGCTCCCAAGGCCAAAATAAAGTGAACTTTTACTCTTTTAGTTGCAATTCCGTATGGTGAGACTAAGGTCCTATTTGGTATGAATTCTTTAAGAGTTATTCTTCTTATACATCAAGTGCTACATAAGGGTGTCCATAATGGACACCCGGCGTCCTCTCATTGGATGGAGTGCCGATCCCACCAACTATCACTCCAATGAGGAGGCGTCGGGTGTCCATCCATTATGGACACCCTTATGTAGCCTCTGATGTACCTGTAGCATCCCTCTTTAAAAAAAGTCTAGGATTGGGAGAAGAACTGAAGAACCACCACCACTTCCTACCCCTCAAATCCATCACCATCTCCATCACCGCCTTCCCGACTACTTTTCCTTGCACTTAGTGGCACCGCCACNATCATGGATTAACTTCAATATGCAGATTCGAAAGGTACACATTGTGCAGCGGTTGATACTCTTTTCTAAGCCGCGTTGATTTACTTTTTGAGAGAACGTGAGATCCCTCAATCAGATGCTCTGATTTATGTATTGTTACTCAACTCGAGTCAAATTTCAATTTTAATCACGCATTTTATAGTACTTACAAATTTATCTACTTTTAATCACATATTTTATTAATTTTTATTAAAATTTGTTAAAACTTTTATATAAAACTTTGTCTAACCGCCACTCAATTTTAAGAAATGATAAAATTGTAATCGAGTACTTAAAATAATATTTTTGGATACAACATTTAAGATAACGTGATTGTATAACGATAAAGTTTTCGTTCTTTTTTCTTTATTGGTATTGTTCTACTCCTCACAAATCCCTCTTCGAGGGTAAAAAGGAATTGGAACTAGAAGAGCCATGGCTCAAAACTAACAAGTTTAGCCTGGAAAAAATATAGTAACAAAATCAAGGTTGGAAGAAAGGGACGAAATTGGATATTTTAGGCGAAAGAAATACGTTCGACTGCTTTATTAATAGTCAATTCCGCGCGTCTAATCAAAATTCTTTTTTTTTTTCGATTGCATCTTTTGCAAATTCCATTCAATTATGAGGATCTTTCTTTTCCCCAATTCTTTCTGTACAAATTATTTAGAATAAATCGAAATTCTTGATCAATATTGCATATTTAAGAGTGTGTTTGATCTACATTATTTTAGAAAAATATATTTTGGAATAGTAGCTTGATGGAGAATGTATGGTTGAAAACAAAACGGAAAAATTATTGATGTAATAGAAAATATTATTTTATTGAATAATGTGTGGTTGAAAATGAGTAAAAGAATGAGAATGAAAATTTTAATATGACTCATAGATGAGCTTAATATAGATTTTTTAAAATAAATTTTGTAAAAATTTGATTAAAGAATATATAGGCCCCATTCGGGAGGGATTAAAATTGAAAATATGGCCGTTATTAGGTCTCACTCGTCTAATAAAAGTCAACAATAACGACTATATTTTCAATTTTAATCCGATTTTAATCCCTCCCATACAAGGCCATAGTTAGAAACTAGAAAGTATAGAAAGATTATGGGTCTAAGTGAAGAATTAGTTTATCGAGAGAATACACGATTAAAAATAAATTTTAAATAATTTGTACCAAACATAGACTTATTGAACTGAGAGTATGGAAAGATTATAGAACTAAATGCAAAATTAGTTTATCGAGAAAATACGTGATTAAAAATAAGTTTAAAAATAAATTTTAAATAATTTGTACCAAACAGAGACTTATTGATTTGGGTTTATATATTTATTTATTACTTGATCATAAAAATGCAGATAAAAAAAAAAAAAAAAATCTTCTCCACACAGCAGTAGTATGATGGAATGGACCATATGCGCACTGAATCAAATTAGGATTTTGTTGAATAGATTCTTAGAAACTTTTATTCTAAAATATGGGGCCCAAAACACAAATCCAAAAAAGTCCATTGGTTGGTTCCAGCTTCAAAAGTGAGTTCTCAAAAGCAAGCAAGAGAGACTATAGAATAGCCTTCTAAATTATAATGTAGTAAAAGAGATGAGAATCATATTCCTTCGACCGACCTTATCTTTTATTGCTCAATTAATTTTTTTTTTTTTTTTGGCATGTTACTTGTCTCCTGGGTATATTATTATAATTTGATCATAATCCAAATTCTTATTGCAATTTTTGATTAGTTGGGACATATATATTGATAAGATTTCGTTTCATGTCATCATCTTAATTCTTTTCCATAATTTGTACCTTTGACAAGATATCTTATTTGAATGATATCCTCAAGTGAATTGCTTGAGTTGCATATCTTTGTAGTTTCAAAGATTGGCGTGGCTCTATTGGATATGTGCAGGGAGTTATTACGAATCGCGCAACTCACAAAAGTGAATCTCGAGTCACGGTTTTATGAGCCTTTAGAGCTAAATTGCAATTAAGTGGAGCCCACATTTTCATTTCTACGGGATTTACCTCGCACATCTACGCAGCTAAATCCAAGACATGACTCGATATCATGGTTTGAAAATTGGGTTTCCATCTTAAAATGTTAATTCACTAACTGAATAACATCCTCATTTCTAGCTATTGGGAGATCTTTTGTATGCACTTTTCACATTTTCTTTTTCACTATTGAAAAAATTGACAATCATATATTCAAAAACATTTGGCGATGCTGTGTCACACTCGATCATAATATGTTACATTCTCTCTAAATTATCTCTGGTCGATCTACAAATTATTTAAGAGACTGATGTTGAGTTAAAAATTCGAGTACTTATTTTATAAGCTTGATGATTGGACATGTTAGTGCGGCGACGCTGTGTCACACTTGATCATAATATGTTACATTCTCTCTAAATTATCTCCAGTCGATCTACTTTAAGAGGCTGACGTCGAGTAAAAAATTCGAGTACTTATTTTATAAGCTTGATGATTGGACACATTAGTGCAACTTTTTCGACCACCCCCACAAAAAGGAAAACAAAACATACCCAACAAGGCCCTCTGGGGCACATCCGAGTTGGCAAAGGATGGGCATTGCTGGGCTTGCAACCTTAGGGTGGGGAGTTCGATTCCTGAATGGAGCAGCTGAGTGTTGTAATACTCAATTTGGGTGGAGCAACTTGGTGATGTAATATCCATGGAGGAAGGCTCCCTTGAGACCAGGAGTATAAAGGGTGCAGAACCCTAGTCAACCTGGGCATATCATGCGGTTAACCTCCACCCATCACTGAGGGACCGGTGATGGGTGGTCCAGGACATAGTCTGGTGTAAGTTGGAATAAAAAAAAAAAAAAAA